GGTAATTAGCCAATATAGCAGACAGAGGAGTAAGATCAGAGAGTTAAGAATGGTGAAATACAAATGAAATATAATAGAAGGGAAAACAATATAAGGTGTGTGATATCTATTGGCAATTGCTATTAGAAAGAACAGGAAGCTCCTGTTCGTATTGTATTGTGTAAATGTGGTGTATGTCTAAGTTTTGTGTATGTGTATTTTACATGTTTGTAAATATTTTTTTTTAAAAAAATGAATATTTATGTCTGAATATTTAACGTATTACAAATGTAGCTATTATTTCTTTATGAACTGGACACTGACTTTTGATTCACTGACTGATAGTTCACAAAAAAGTTAAATTAGGTTAAAAAAAGCTTCTCTGAACTGCTAGAACTCTGAACTGCTATAAGAAGCTTTATTAACAATACTGAGATTCTAAGAGAACACTAGGAATGTGATTTGGGATTGATCATTTTTGAAGAGAAACCATTTCAGGAAGCAGCCTTGTTTTGTAGGAGCCACTTATTTGGAAACAAAGTATTATAACTACACAGATTTCTGTACAGTACTAGTATAGAATGATTCAAGATTTTGGATGATAGGACATAGTTTAAAGCATTAAGGTTAAAATCTGTCACAGAAAAATTACTGCAATAAAATAATCCTTCCAGGCAGAATCCAAAACACCTGGAATCCTTCAGTCTCCACTCAAGCAAAGCTGAAGTTGATTGTTTACTTGGCAAAGCCTTAGTAGGACCTTGGTGCTTTCCCAAACATTTGAGTGCTTCTCTACCTTGCCTCCCTTTTCATGCATCAGCATTCTCATTAACTTGGCTGCCCTGATTCAGATCCAGAATGTCAGTCTGGCCTAAAAATAACAGTGCCTTTTAATGAAGCAGATAGCAGCTAGTTGAAAAATAATTAAAACAACCACTTATACAGCCCTCCCCCACCCAAAAAAAATAATTCTGGAAATAAGGAACATTAAGGACAGCTAAATCTAAGAATCATTTGCTCTCCCAGACAAACAGTACAGAAATTAAAGTTGGGGACAGTCCCATATCTTGAACTAACTGAAAGATTGCATTTTCTAGCATCTAAGTTGGCTGCTTCTAAAGGCATCCACAAGATTAAAGGCTTTCATCAAAATCATCATGATGTTCAAAAATAGTGGAACTTGTGAAGTGATGCTGCTTTCATCATCTGCCCTGTCTTCTACTACCTGGGTGCTGCAGTTCCAGATCAAATCAGATCAGACCAGGGAAGACTAATTTGATGCCTAATCTTCTATTTATACATAAGGAGAAAAGATATACCCACCACCATGGACAAATATGTTTTGGAAGCATTATTTTTGGTTAATTGCACAAGCCTGTGTTTAATTAACCAAAAAAGAAAAATCTTTCTCTCTCTTGTACTAAGAAAACTGCAGGTCTCTAGTATTCTGCACTGGGAAAATTCTATGCTACAAGTCTCAGCCAGGGTGGGCAGTTCTGGGTTTTGACAAGAAACTGAACTTTAGATAAATTTCTAACTTAAGTAATTTGGCTCAGCTGGTGGACAGAAACAAGATTTCTGCATGATATCATACAGCCCAGCACCCACGATGGAGCCATTGCAGGCAGCCCATGATCTCTAGCCACTCTGAATATTGAAAACTATGATTGGGGAGGAGTTAAGTTTAAGGAGCAGAAGACTGAAAGTGTAGTGATGTGAAATAAGTTGTACATTTGTAGAGCAATCAAGGATTCTCTCTCAACAACTCAATTATCACTCCTCTACAAATGGTGGAATATCTTTGATTCACACATTAGAGAGAATATAAAACTAGCAAGATGAGAATTATAAATTGCATTGCAACCTTGGAATAAGTGCCTCTAATGCCTGATTCCAAAGGCTTGCTCTTAAGATAAACTAATTTGACTGAGTTGTCCTGCAGAGGCCTGACATAGTATGTACAAGAGATGGTCAAACCAGGAGCCAATTTGATCTACTACTTAAGGCAGCTGGCTAGAAACCAGGAAACTTGAGTTCTAATCCCACTTTAGGCATGAAAACCGACTGGATGGCTTTGGACTGGTCACTCTCTCTCAACCAAACTCACTTCACAGGGTTGTTGTTGAGGGGAAAATAGGAAGAAGTATCAGGTATGTTTGCTGTTTTGAGTTATTTATAAAAATAATAAAGGATAAAAAAATCTAAAATCAAATAAAAATTTGCTTTTCTGAGCATAACATTTAAAAATCATGCTTGCTAGAGAAGGAATATTTGTTCCCAAAATAGTCAATAAATAGGGAACAAAATAACTATGATGATAAATAGGCTAAAACAATAAATATTTTGAACAAGCTTAAATAATGTGCTATCTACCATTGCTTATTTTAAAAAAAACGGTTTACAGTATTATATTGGTAAAACTGCACCTAGGAATATGGATCGTATGGAATTTGGTATAGATGTAGAGCTTTTATAAGTGAATCAAAGAAACTGCAATGAATTATGGATTTTGTTAATCAAGGGAATGGTTGCACACAAAGAGAGAAGCATGCATTTCTGAAGCATTTTTATGAATAATGAAACAATGATTTGGTTATTTATAGTTACCCAAATGAAATGTTTAAATAGTTAATATTCACTCAATTACCTAGTTTTATCTCATGTTCTTCTGGGGAACCCAAACTTTCTTCTTCACTTTTACATTCTATTAGACTTATCTGGGGATCTATTATATGAATGAAGAAAGTGTGGTTATCTTTTATCACCTTCACTTTAACTAAGGTTGACCCTAGAAAAAGAAACAAATAAATAACTAACATCAGAGTGGGCAGTCATGATTCTAATGTTAAATAATCCATATAACAATTACATTATACAGATTGCTAGAACATTTGCTGAAGATCTAAAATCCATCTTCTAAAGTTAGATATAACTTCCTAGTTCTTTTCCATATTAACTTATCTAGTATAATCTTTAAAGTAAGATTCACATATAAGTATAATTTTCAAAAACAAAGTGAAAACAGAATTTTCTTAAATTTATATTTTAATTAAATTTCTTTGTTGATATATAAATATCCCCCTAGAATTCTTATACCAATAATTAACCTGCTCTGTATGGCATGTTAATTTCGATTAGTGATGTGAAATCATTTTAAATAGCACTTTGTCAGAATTTAATAATTTTAAATATCAGAATTCAAAATATACGTATTAAGATGCCACATCTATTGAATTATCTGTTAGTGAACTTCTTTAAATGTATGTTTCTTTGCATTTAATTTCTTCTAATACATTTTGTGTACTTAGAGTTGAGAAATATTGCTGAGATGGACTCAGTTAAATGACATGCCAGTTTGTCACATTATTACAACTGTTAAACTGTTCATTTTATGTTAAAACAAGTCCTACTGAACGTAGCTGAGCTTAAAATCTTGTTACCCCAACATCAGTCTTATTATATTCCCATAACCATCTGACCAGATTCTTATGAGAAGCCAACAAGCAGTATGTAGGTGGAATTACTTTTGAGTAGTCTTTTGCCTGCAATGTGGAAATAATGTCTAGCCTGCATGGCTATAATATTAGTCATAGAGAGTCTTATCCTCCTATTAATTTAATTTCTGACTAAAGTTTCAGCATTATGTTTATACTATGTGACAAGCAAAAAACATGCATTTCAATGTCTAATAGGAAACAAACCTTCACAATATGAAAAAAAAATACCTTTTTCAAACATTATTTTTTCTGCTTGGATTTGCCCTCCATCAGTAGGGAAAAGATACTGGATAGTCCCTGAAACTTGAATGGGATTCTCACCTGTATTATATCCAAGAAACTAGAAGAGAACAGTTATAGAACAATATATAATCATATTAAATAGAAGTAATGGGGAAAACTGGGAATCTCTAACAAACCAAATCAGGAATTAAATTAAGCTTTGGAGGCCCAAAACCTGAGAATTAAAAATGAAAACAAAAACAAAATTTGGAAGAGTTCCCTAATTGATTTCTGTTCTTTTTGCAGATCTGAGAGTTTCACATCGATTTAGGCCAGGTGTGGAGGATCCCTGTGGTCCTAAAGCAAACCAGAAAAATAGAAGTGAAGCTTTGATATTAACATCCTCCCTCCAGTGATGCCACCATATTATCATACTCCTTTAGAGCTTTAAATGGATGGTTTTCTTTTTAAAATACTTTGATTAAAATTCCCTTCCAGGAAATTTATAAAAAGCTAAGGGGCCAAACCAATAATTAAATAACCAAAATAATACAGAATAAGTAATAAAATGTTCCAGTTGCTACTGTTCTGACATCTGAAACTCCAAAATATTGCTGGCAATTAACTAAAGTCAACAAAACCCTAAAAGGAATCCAAATAAAGGTCTATGCAGGCATAGGATCTACTATGAGAATTTATAGGGATAACAAAGAAGACCACACCAGAATATTGCTGGACCCAGCTATATTGACTATGTAAGAAAATCCAGGCTTCAGACGAAACATTAGCACTGAGGACTTCTTGAAAAGTGCAACCTATTACTTGAACCTTGCAAGGGTGGACCCAATAACTAGAATTATTTCCAGCAATTTATGCAATCATTAACTAATTCACCTCATAGTCTTTCTCTTCAGGCAAAGGAGGCACAGTTTGTTTACTCTGTTTCTGTAACTTGGCCTGATCTTCAACCTCTGTTGATTTGGATGATTCTGTTTTATCCTTAGAACTCTTTTTCTTAGATGCTTTTTCCTCTTCAGGAATGGGTGGCTCTGCCCCCTTGCCTTTCTTTTTCCCAACAGATTTTTCTTTCTTCTCTGCTTTTTTTAGTTCTTTTAAACGTTCTTCCTCCAACAGCCTATCTTGCTCTTCCTTCCAGGCCTACAGTAGAAAAAGGAAAGCTCAGAGACAGACTTAACATGAAATGTGCATTTTAACACAGCCAAGCAATTTGGGTTTTGCCCCAACAATCTGAACCATTATTGAATGCTTTCTTTATTTTTTCTCTTTAGAAAAATTGCTATTTTAGGCAATTGTAACAAGCAACATGATTATTTGCCTGCACTACATTTCAACTACGAAGTAATGTAGATGCTACTAATGTGCATTATTTAATACTGCATCAAAGTAATATTACTATGGACATAACTGCTAATTTCATATATTTATTCAGACATATTCTTATATTTCAGCTACTTAAGTAGAAGAACAAGTGGTATTCAGTAGTAATCAGTAGTTACCTTGAGAGATTCATCTCTGACAAATATATTTTTTTCCTTCTCAGCTACAGGTTCAGATGAAACTTCTACTTTACTTTTGGAAGAACCTTTGAAATTTGAGAAAGCATAAAGATTATAACTATATCATGAATGTTATATAAATGGTGCCTTGGCTAAAATAATCCCAAGGGTTAAATATTTTAGGTAAACAAAAATCTGACTCTGTAGAAAGACATTTTCCATTAAACCCAACAGTATGTTTCTCCTCCCAAAAGCACTTTCCACTGATGGAAACAAATATCTTCTTTTCCATCTGGCCTAAAAATTGACTTCAGAACAGCTACTCTCTCATAATAATTGTGAGAATTAAACAGATCTATTTCTTCTCATACCTGAAAACTGCAAGTACTTTTCAGGTAGGAAAAAGCATAGCTGAGTTCGATAGCAGTATCTGACTGACCTTGGCTGATTTCCAAAAGCTATGTAGACCAAATCAGTTTAGTACTTGGATTGAACACCACCAAGAAATACCAGGATAGTAGAATGGGTTAGGAAAAAGCATCTCCAAAATTAGCAATAACATGCCACTTCCATATTTATGTAAACAAAAAAGCAAGCAACACTTACCTCCCTAGCTTTTATTTATTTATTTTCATTTATTAAATTTTTATGTTGCTCATTTGAGCTTGCTGACATTTTGTGTACATGTACTTTGCATGTTCTTGAGGATTGGTGTTGAAGACAATGATGCATTTCAGAAACTGAGAAGATTGGTTAAGTTTCTGGTTATGTAGCAACAGTGTTTTTGTTTGAGTAATAAACCATAAACCAGACTGGAATTAAAAAAAACACTAGGAAGAATGCAATAGCAAGAATATTATAGGTCAAAACACACAAGATTACCATGAGCCGATCTTGGTCTTAAAGATCTGAAGATATTAATATATTTTATTTGGCAGTACCCGGCCAAACAACAGGCATAATAAAAGTGGATGGCGTGCTGTTGTACTATTAACATCTGCTACTCATATAGTTAAAGAGAACAGCTCCTTTCCTTGCAGGACACCCTGTCCATGCTGTGTTCAGTAACATTTAAAGAAGCTCCACAGCATAGAAATGTTGGGATTGACCAAACAAGGATGTATTACTGCTATTTAAATAATTTAGACCCTATGTGCAAAGTAAAGAGCTTCACAGTAAGAAAAGAGATTTCAGTCAAGCTATTTGCAATGGTGGGTTTATGTGTATGTGAATCAGTGACGTGCGGTGAGGTTTATGGCTGGTGAGGCAAAAAGAAAGAAAGCAGCTTTTGGCCGCCCTGCCACTATGTCCGACATAGAGGCGGGATAAATCGGATTATTTGCCGCCGAAAAGGCCGGGATCTCTTCCACCGCTCTTATTCGCAAAACCTAGGCTGTGTCAGGACATGGGGGAAGGGTCTTCTGCCTGCGAGTCTCTGCGGGTCTCTCCTACTGAAGGCAGAACAAGAAAGTGGGCAAAGGACTCCCGGCGGAGGCCCCTACGCTCCCCCAAAGTGCACCGATCACCAAAAGTGCGATTTCAAGGCAGGTGAGGCGAGACCGCAAAGGGTGTCTCATTTTGTTTTACTCGGTTGCACTTTGGACTCTTTTTCAGTGGCAGCTTTGCCTGCTCTGGCTCCAGGGTAGACAGAAGATGGCAGGAAGCGAAAGGCTTGCCCTTAGGAAAGTTGAGCCGTGCCGAGCCCCGAAGCGCGTTGCGCTCTTCGGCTGGGTAGCTGGGTAGTAGAAAAAGCTGCGCCTTGCCTTGAGACTCAGGTGTTGCGAGCCGGGGTCTCAGGGAGCCGCCGCCACCAGAAGCCCTAGCGACGCACGCTGCTTGGAGCGAGGGAAAGCCAGTGCCTTACGCCCCAAGTGCGGCTGTCTGCGTGGTGACCTTTCCCTCCCTTTGATGTCCCCCACCAGGACTGAACGGGACCTCCGCTGGCGGCTGCCTCCCCCAGCTCTCGTCCCTCAACCAGGCGGCAGCGTTCTCCTCAGCTCCCCCTCTGTGCCACATGCTGGCCTCAGACTTCCAGCCTCCTTACTTCCCGCTGCCTTACCCGCAGCCGCCGCTGCCCTATGCGCAGAGCCAGGAGAGTGCCTACCCGCACCTGGGAGACCCCTATGGCAGCCTCAACCCCATCCACCAACACCAGCAGAGTGGCTGACCCTCGCAGCGGGCGTGCCAGGAAGAAGCGGCGGTGGCGGTGGGGGGCTCCTTTCGCAGATGCACCACACTCTCGGCCTGGATCCATGCAGGGACTACCCAGGCATGCCGTGCTTGCTCCACGGCAGGCAGCGAAAGGCTCGCCCTTAGGAAGGTTGAGTTGTGACGAGCCCCGAAGCGCGTTGCATTCTTCGGCTGGCTGGCTGGCTTTCTTGCCCGTCGGGGTGGGGGGGAGAAGGAGAGGAACAGGGCTTGGCTGGGTAGTAGAGAAAGCTGCGCCTTGACTTGAGGCTCAGGTGTTGTGAGCTGGGGCCTCAAGAAAGAAAGCGCCAGCCCGCCAGCAGAGGCAGGTAAAAGACTCGCCTCTGCTGGCGGGCTGCCCCTCTCTTCTCAAACAAGGTTGCCCTCCCTGCCTCTCCGACTCCTACCACCTTCCCTCTCTTCTCAAACAAACTCTCTCTCAAATTGAGAGTGAGTTTGTTTGAGTGAAGTGGAGAAACAAACACACACACACAAATTACTTACAATTACTTACAAATTACATTTTTTGAATTCCTCCCCCTCCCTCAGACCCAGATACCTTTTCCAGCTGTTTCACAATCACAGAGGATTTCAACTCTGCTCTTGTCTGCCATGATGAAAATGTAAAAATATAAAAGGAAAAAGGCAAGAGCTGCTGAGTTCAGGCTGGGTTATCTGCTGCCAGAGTCCCCAATGGATGACTCTGCTTAACTGTTTAAAAAAGCCTCTAAAAAAACGCTCTCTACAGGGAGAGAAGATAACCTCGTGCCTCATCTAAATTAGGAATTTTTCTGCTTTTAACCCTTGTTTAACTCTGCTCGAGTGA